CCTCCCTCTCCCAACCATAACAAAGAAAAAAAACAAAAAAAATCGTAGATAACAACGGAACCTTTACTTGTAGGAGGTTGTGTGAAACGTAACAAAAAATAACTGCGGCATTCAAAAGATTGTTTTTTTTTCCTTCGTAGAATCTGGAATATCATTATCCATGCCTGCTTTTTTTAATGAAAAAGCTGTTAAAACACGTTCTCGTGTTGTATTAATTTCCAGGCTGTGTTTGCGTCAAATTTTGCTATCCTCTCCCCTCCCTCTCCACACCATAACAAAGGAAAAAAACGAAAAAAAATCGTAGATAACGACGAAACCTTTTCCTGTAGGAGGTTGTGTGCAACGTAACAAAAAATTACCGCAGCGTGCAAAAGAACCTTTTTCTCCTTCGTAGAAGCTGCGATATATTTATCTATGGCTGCCTTTTTTAATGAAAAAGCTGTTAAACACGTTCTAGTGTTTTACTAATTTCCAGGCTGTGCGTCAAATTTCGCTATCCTCTCCTCTCCCTCTCCGCACCATAACAAAGAAAGAAAAATCGAAAAAAAATCGTAGATAACAACGGAACCTTTTCTTGTAGGAGGTTGTGTGAAATATAACAAAAAGTAACTGCCGGGTGTAAAAGACTTTCCGTGTTTTTTTTCGTAAGCGCTAAGATGTAATTTTATATGCTTGTTTTTAAAGGAAGAAGCTGTTAAACACGTACTAGTGTTGTACTAATTTCCAGGCTGTCTTTGCGTCAAATTTCGCTATCCTCTCCTCTCCCTCTCTGCACCATAACAAAGAAAAAAAATGAAAAAAAAATCGTAGATAAGAACGGAACCTTTTCTTGTAGGAGGTTGTGTGAAACGTAACAAAAAGTAACTGCGGCATTCAAGAGAATGTTTTTTTCCTTCGTAGAAGCTAGGATATCATTATCCATGCCTGCTTTTTTTAATGAAAAATTTGTTAAACTCGTTCTAGTGTCGTACTAATTTCCAGGCTGTGTTTGCGTCAAATTTTGCTATCCTCTCCCCTTCCTCTCCCCACCATAACAAAGAAAAAAACGAAAAAAAAATCATAGATAATAACGGAACCTTTTCTTGTAGGAGGTTGCGTGGAATATAACAAAAAGTAACTGCAAGATGTAAAACTTTTTTTTTTTTTCGTAGAAGCTGGGCATTCTCCGGGTTTGCTTTTTTTTTTCCTAAGGAAGAAGCTGTTAAACACGCTCTAGTGTATATTAATTTCCACGCTGTGTTTGCCTGCAGTGTTGCTATCCTCTCCCCCCCCCCTGTCCTTATCATAACAAAGAAAAAAAACTTAAAAATTGTACATAACCACGGAAGCTTTTCTTGCATTAGATCGTTTGGAATATAGCAAAACGTAACTGCGGTGTAACTGCTGTGTAACCATTAATGCAGCGCGTAAAGTATGTGAGACGCGGGAGAAGGGCAGGGACAATGACAAGTGCTGTCCTGTGTTTCACACTCTGTACGCGCTACGCTATTGGTTATGTATTACCAAGACGCCCAACTTCAGACACTAGCGGTTTTCAGGCTGTGTTTGCGGCAAATGTTGCTATCCTCTTCCCTCTTTCGCCCTCTTCTCCATTATAACAAAGAAAACGAGAACGATAAAAGAAACGCATGCGATCGAAATCCCTGGTTCTCAGCAGGAACTGCTCCTGTCGTCTGTTTCTGTTAAAAAAATGATAGGAATGGATTGTTGTAGGCTGTTCAGTTTTTTATATAGTACGCTTGCTCTTTTGTGTGGCACATGCTAATTTGTATTTGTAAATGCCCCATGCATCACATCGAATTTATTCGCTCATCAAGGTTGCCTCACTGTGTTAAGTTACACACGCCAATGCTTCCACTCCTCGTGTGTATGTACATAGGGCAAATAAAGTATATTTCAACTCATACGTATCGACCATAAATCTTGTGTAAGCAGCCTGCAGTGTACACTTCACGGCTTGGTACTCAACGTTCCGAACACAGAACTTCTTCCAACAACTTCTTCATAACGCAATACACCGGTGTCTCCAGGTACTCTTAGACAGACGCAGTACACAATGAAAATCGCCCTGTGCTGTGTCTGTGTTCGCTTAGCGCGCCCTCTAGGATGAACGAACTCTAACTAGCCCTTATATCTCTGCTCATTGTAGCGAAAGTGGTTAAAATCATGGGCGTGCACCCTCGAGGGGGGGTGGGACTTCTTTTCCGTAATCATCCAAGCCAGCTTCACGGAATGGCATAATAGGGAGGGGGATGTGCTACGAGTCGGGACGAGTTGTGTGCAAGGTCAGCCGTTGACTTAATTGGGAGGAAAGCGCTGCGACAAATATTCGACCCCCCCCCCCCCCCCACCCCTAATGGCGAAACCACCGTGCGTATACGCCTACGGTTGAAATTGTATTACACGAATGAAACCACACCAGTATGCCATTACTGCCAGTATGTCAGTGCCATTACTGGCGCCTTCGGATTTACCCGGGACACTGCCGAATTTCGATCGAGCCTCGCGATCGCATACGGTCATATATATTTTGGATTCCGATTTCATGCGAAGTAGTTTGTACAGAATCTCATTTTATTGCATCGAGTCAAACGTCGAGAGCTGGACCAACCTTGTGTACGTTTTTAGTGGCTGTCTCATAGTCGTGACGTTCAAGAAGGGCAACAGCCTGCGGACGAAGGTTTCTTTTTTTTTAAGGGGGGTGGGGGCGGGGTGGGTTTGTGCCCGATAAACCGAATGTAAAAAGCAGCAATACACACACTATACACTGATGGTGGGGAACAGGGCATCAGCCGTCGGTAATCTGATCGGCAGTAAGGAGCGTGGGCATTTACACATGCGGCCTCAAACATTCGAGCTTCGTCGCTGACGGCTGCGTGTGTTTTTGAATAAACTTCACTGTTCGCGTTTGGACGCTCAAGCCGGTCAGAAGATTGTAAACACATCTGGAAGCTTCACAGACATTCGGGCGTGGTTTGTGCAAGGCAGTGCTTACAAGCGCCACGGACCGTTTACGTAAGAGTACCGAAAAAAAAAAAGAAAGCACGCGTGGCAATATAGCTTTTTTTATGGAGGGGGGGGGGGGGGAGCACTTGCTGAAGTAATTTGCTGTTTAAGGAAGCAACAATCTAGGATGAAGGGGCTTCTACGCATTCAGTAATAAATAATGTACATACATTCCCAAAATAAATGTGCGCGTGGAACCGTTTGGCTATAGGTGTGGCTATTAAGCACGTAAAAGGTTACAATTAGTGACGTTTGGGGGGGGGGGGATGTTTAAGTGATATCCTTAGTATTACACAACCTCTTGTGCAGCTTGTGAAATCGCGTTTCTCCTGTGAATAAATGCCTAGTCGAAGTTATGCGCGCCCCGCCACGGTGGTCTACTGGCTAAGGTACTCGGCTGCTGACCCGCAGGTCGCGGGTTCGAATCCCGGCTGCGGCGGCTGCATTGCCGATGGAGGTGTGAATGTTGTATAGGCCCGTGTGCTCAGATTTGGGTGCACGTTAAAGAACCCCAGGTGGTCGAAATTTCCGGAGTCCCCCCACTACGGCGTCTCTCATAATCTTATAGTGGTTTCAGGATGTTAAACCCCACAAATCAATCAATCGAAGTCATGCGCTCCGTCCTGTTGGTAGTCTACCTTGTCTGTTTTTTTTTTTTTTTGCGCTAAGCAATGTCGAAAGTTTACACCCCACTTTGGTTCTGGATCGATCATGACGTCACCAAGTTCGTCGACTACACTGCGCCCAAAGGGTATCCTAAGGTCCGACGAGATCTCGGTAATCACCACCGAACACAGATGCCAGTTTTATCAAAGTGAACTGCACGCTAAGGCGTGACGATGTGCTTTTCGTAAGAGGTGGTCCTTGTCGGGATCCTTGCGATTGCGCAATGGTTGCCCATTGCTCAGAAAGTCATGTGATATGTAATATTCTTTAACATTGTTACGCCGACAACGAGCACTGCAGACCACAGCCGACTTAACCGTGATGTCATTCCCATATAGGGTGCTTTTCGAAGGCAGCTTTAAGCATTTGCGTAAATTCGGTTAGTCAATACGCACAGGGGCTGGGATCCATTGCGGCTCTAATCGCGACTTACGATTATTTCGTCCCTCTGATTTTGGCTTCACCGTGGGAACGCTGCCGACGCCGGTACTCCATTTTCTACGACTAACTTCACAAATGCTCCTTGACTCTACTTTCACCCTTCACTTGACAGAGTTGAGCACTGCGCCACCACTTGGCTGAAAATGACGCTGCGCTGCTCAAGAGTTGCAGCAGACTATCGCTGATATGCAGTGACTTGCTGTACCTAGAGATGGCGCTCCCATCGGCTTTCTCTAGTGAATGCGAAGCATTGAGTGAAGGGAGGTTCGAGAATACGGAGGCCAAACTCCTACACGCGATCGTGTTAACATTTCCAAACTCGGCTATCGCCTTTCCTCGGTTGATACAAAGTGTGAATCTCCTGTAGGCTCATGCCCGCTTTTCATGGGCTGTGGCATGGCGGGAAAGCGCCCCACCTGACTGAAGCAAACTTGAACAGTGAAAAACGACGGAGCCAAAATGCTCACAACAGGACTGATGATTTACTTGTAACTGGAGTTAGCAGTAATGTGTCAGTCCCAGAAGAGGAAGGAAAGGCAGGGCAAATCAACCAGATGCGCGGCCGGTTCGCTATCCTATGCTTGGGCAAGGGGAATGAGGGATGAAAAGATAAGAGAAACAGAACCGCCGACATGCAGTATACGTAATCATTGCTATTGCTATAACGATGTACGCTCAAAGCGGAAAGCAACACAGGGGAAAAGAGTGGCCCTTGGCGTTTATTGAAAAGCAGGCAACGAAACGACACCACCCTGCGTTTCTTTCAAAAATGACACGTGGTCCTTCCGTCTTGCTTAGTCGGTTGCGCAGATGAATCGATGAGTCATTTCATTCGAAGCCAATGAAGAACTCTTTTTTTTTGTTTAGCGTTCGGGCTCGAAAGCTCGCTACTGTCCGTAGCGGAAGCTGTAGTGTCGCTGGAAGAGCGGCCCGATCGGATGACGACACGACGAGATGCGACCTCGGCAGCCTCCGTAGCGGCGGCCGTGTCGTGCCACGGCGGCGTAGTGTGCAGCTGCAGAGTTCGTGTCCCACATTGGGTACCTGCAAGAGAAAAAAATACATATTCGATTGATTGATTGATTGATTTGTGGGGTTTAACATCCCAAAACCACCATATGATTATGAGAGACGCCGTAGTGGAGGGCTCCGGAAATTTCGACCATCTGGGGTTCTTTAACGTGCACCCAAATCTGAGCACACGAGCCTACAACATTTCCGCCTCCATCGGAAATGCAGCCGGGATTCGAACCCGCGACCTGCGGGTCAGTAGCCGAGTACCTCAGCCACTAGACCACCGTGGTGGGGCTTCTAGGAGTTTGACTAACTCTAGTTAACTGTAACTGTAATCAAACTAGGATTTGATTACCGGTCTCGTCGGCTGCTCTTTGATGGGGGTGGTATGCTAGTTCACCCGTGCGCTTAGAGTCGTATGCGCCTTCAAGAACACCATTTGGCGTTCGGGTCCGCGTCCAAACACGTGGTCCAACACGTGTTTTGCATCCTGGAACGCCAGCGGCCGAAAGCGGCGACCCCACGGGATTGACGCGAGTAGGTTGCAGCTCCGGGACGTCCGAGCACGTTATAGAGTCTTCCTTTAATTCCCCTACCTCTTCCCCCCTTTATGCCCGATCAACAATAAAGTTGTTTCCCTCATTCAGCCCGTGAAACCAAGTAATTATTATAAGCAATCTTTTCAGTTTTGTGAACATTTCCTTTTTATTCGCCCGAAAGTGTTCCCACGAAGTGTCGTGGCCTTTATCATGCGAAAACTATATTGACAAGTATATCGACAAAATGGTTATCTTTTCAGAACAAGGGCTATACCAATACGTCTTTTCAGGGTCATGTTTGTTCTTTGCTACAGCTATATTTCAGCCATCTTATCACAAGAGTGAACTTTCGTGTTTTTCTTTTCTTTCTTTTTCTTTTAATGTTGATTTCTTCATAAGCACGTTGCGTTTTTTAGCTATTCACGCTTTCTGTACTCGACTCGAAATTCCCCAAAACTTGTACAATACAAGGAATTATCATTTATGTTTATCTCCTTTTATTGCGCTTAAAATTAGTGCTGCTTACTATGGGGAGTAGCAAACTAGATTTAGACACGTTTTACATCGCCATGTTTCTAACTTCCCCGAGACTGATTAGATGCAGCACCGCACGCGTCTGCGATTTGAGTGCATACATTTTTTTTTTTTGCCTTCCCCAGTGACCATATGACATCCCTTTCTCTTAGATAATCGTCATAAGTTTAGTTAGAGTGGCAAAGGGCACGATCTGTTAAATCGAATCGCGATCGAATTGCTTGGTCAATAAATGCCATAAATGGTCGAAAAATTCTGAACCGATGACGTTATACCACGAGCGAAAGCAGTGCGCGGCCAGATATCTGAAGAGCCGAGGCAGAATCGTCTGCTCGAAGTGGAACAGACGATTCTACAAGTCGCTTAAGCTTCATCTTTAAAACAGTGTAAACAACACAACAATAATAACATTCCTTTGCGGGAATGACCTACAATATGATTATTCGGCACGCCGCAGTGTAGACCTCCGGGTAATTTCCACCATTTCGCGTTGCTTAACGTGCGCCGATTTCGGACAGTACACGATCCCCTTATAGCCTTTCGTCTCCACCGAAAATGCGACCACCGCGGCCATGATGGAACCCGCACCCGGTACCATAATCACGTTGTATACCGTCGTGGCCGACCCTAACGGCACAAGGACGAAAGAAGAAGTGAAGCAGAGCTCACTTACTATGACTTCATGCCTTCGTCCATGTGTTGTTTCCAGTGTACTTAAGACGCACCCGCGTTACAATTTCGAACACGCAACAGTCCATGGTTGATTGAAAATATTTCGTTATCTAACACGGCATTTTCGAGAAACGCCGACTTGAATTGGAAGAAAAGACACTCGATGCTATCCTATCAAGAATGATTCGTCACGCTGATAGCGCCGTTCGTGGGAACACCGGACGCTCGGCGATAACGCAAGTCGCGATAGATGGACGGTTATCGTTGTGGTCCGGTAAGAAGCCCTATAGGATGCGCCTTTCCGAAAGTTTCCCGAGACCCTCAAGGCCCATTCGAAACGGGATGTTTATTCAACGAACGTTTTTTTTTTTTTTCGCGGCAACGAATGTCCATTTTATTGTTTGTGTTATTACGTCACTTCTAGTTCGGCGCGGTGCTGTTAACCTCAAACCCATACGTTTCGCACCAGCCCACCTGGACTATTCATGTGACGCCAGCGTACATGCCGTTTTGTCGCGCTATGTACAGCTTCGCCGGATGCTTCAGGAGAGAGACGAACCGAATTCAAGTCCAGAGATATGTTACTGCTTTGACAGCGTAACAAGATGGCCGCCTAGTGCCAAGACGAAAAAGAACGTACCTGAAGAAGCGGTCCACTTTGACGCCCAGGGTGCCGTAGCGCAGCGGGTAACGGGCCATCTCGCAGATGAGGTACGAAACGCAGTTGTCGACGTCGTTCAACCGCACCAGGTTCAAGTGGCGGCGGACTCGCGCCCGTGCTTCGTCGTCGATCGGTCGAGACACCTGACTGGGGTCGAAGTAGAAGCGGTACTTCACGCCGTTCACGGTGTTTACGAAACTGGTGCCGTCGTGTTTCCACGGCGACGTGTCCTTACTTCCCGAGACGGTGTTATTAGCGACGGGACGAAGTGTCCTCGTGCTCGTTGTTGACGAGTTGCCCGTGGGCGTCGTTGTAGCATTTATCGACAATTTCAACTCGTCCGTTGCCGACGGAGTCGACATTGTGGTCGTCGTTGATGGCTTCGCCGTGGATGCGACAGAGGTGAGTCGTGTTGACGATGGCCGCTTGCTCGAAGGCTTTACCGAATCCACGATTTGGGAGACGTCGGGATTGCGAATCAGCATTGTGTAGTATCTGAAAAAAAAAAAGGTGTTAGTTCTTCAAAACTGAGGTGCTAACTTTCGGTACAGCTTTATGAAAATGTTACAACGCTGTTGTCAGAAAAAGACGACTTAACAAGATCCTAGTTCTGTTTCGTTATATGTTCTTCGTGCTGAAAAAGAATTGTGCGGATATCAAAGCAACTGTTTTAGAAATAAAAAAAAAAAGAGCAACATTGAGGCAAGACGAATTAAGAACGGCAGGCACGCAATGCTATAGTCACTTCATCGCGTCTGACGCACCACCAGATTAAGTTCCAGTAATGTGCAGAGATCAACACGGTAGTACTGCAATATGCTGTAGAAACCAATACAAGACTAGTTTAAGGTTAATCAGCAGTAGTTATTTAGCTCAGATTATCAGAAAATGTAGCCAACGTTTAGACAAGTTGTTTACAGAATAAAGGGTTACTGGATGATGGCACCGACATATCGTGACGCTTGTTTGTTTTCACTTAGTACCCTTGAGGAGAACAAGTTTGAAAAGGCTACTCATTCCCTATTTGGCCGAGATCTTGCACCGGCAGAAAAGGAGGATGCACCTATCTTGCCTCTTACGTTTTACAGTTGTGGTATGCGGCATAACGCTAACTCGAAAGTTTGTGGACAAACTATAACTCTCAAACGGAAAAAACGGCATTGAAGTTTCTGCCTTCACCAGGACAAGTCGACTCAACTGGCTCAGATGACATTCCCAGTTTAACGTATGTTCATCAATACGCTGATCAGCATGACGGCCTCTCTCATTCTTCTCAGAAGTAGACTAGACGAAAAGCATTCGTAACTCTGGCGGAAGCGCGGTACGAAGCAAGTTGAAAAAACCTGTTGAGTTCCGCGAGTACGACTGGGTCGTTCATGAGGGTCACCAGGCTCTGAGTGGCGGTGGCCAAGCGGTTGACGAAGCGCTCCTCGTTGTTGGCCGTGCCGAAGATGCGCCTCCTGATCCACGAGAGCGGCGAGTTGCCCGGGAACGGCTCGTTGGCGCCGCAGCAGTGGACCAGAAGCATGACGAGGCACATTTTCGCGTTCATGGCTGCCCCTTTCGAGCGAGCCGTACGGGTGCACGGCTAGGCGGATTGTGAGTGCCGAGGCTTTTTTTCCTCTCCCTGATTATGACGCCGCGGCCAATCGCCTCGCATCGCGATAGTTCCCAAGGCGGGAGGTCACACTGTGAGGGACCGACGCGAGTACATCTGAAAAACATCGTTGCGAAAAAAAAAGGAAACCATTATCAGCCTCCGACACGTGACCAGGACGTCAGCGAAGTCGGACAAACATTCTTGATCAATAAGCTGTCTATCGGAGGTCCCGTGTGGGGCCGATACAACGCGTGGGAAAGATTGAAGGAGTGACTTCGCGGAACGTTGACGTATCAAGCTTATAATATAGAAGCGCAAAAAAGGCAAGATCAAAGTACACAACACGAGGGTGTCCACATACATCAGCCATCCATCTTTGGTCATGTTGGCCCGTGAAGTGAAACTATTCGAGGAAAGCAGGTAGCTGGTGGGCGTAAAGGGGAAAGGGTTGACTCCTTGTTCATCATCAGCATGTTTGCCTTGTCCAAACTGTGCGCATGCGTGGCCATTAGACAAGCGTCGGGTTTACGTATCTACTTTCCGTTGCAGTAATGAATCATTCTTTCTGAGCAAAGAGCTCATGTGGTACACTTTGTCTTTGTCCTTTTTGTGCATCTAATATGTGAGAATGTAAGCATGAACCAATACCAACAAGCGGCAGCTGCATTTCTGATGGAGGCGGAAATGTTGTAGGCCCACGGTGTGCTCAGATTTGGGTGCAAGTTAAAGAACCCCAGGTGGTCAAAATTTTTGGAACATTCCACTACGGCATCTCTCATAATCATATGGTGGTTTTAGGGCGTTAAACCCCACATATCAATCAATCATTCAATCAATCAATCCAGTACCAACAAGTTCACCGTTCCGTCTTGCTTTAGCGTATCAACGCTTGGGGCTTGTCGTACTGCTCTCTGCTACTATTGTCACAATGCAGAAACAGGAGCAGTCGAATACAGGAAACTCACTTTAATTGTACCAGAACACTGGCAAACTGATCGGAAGAGAACCTCGTCATCTCTCGCTGCGCGTGTTCTTCGTTGTTCTCTTGGTGCTGCATATTCAATGTGGCATTTGCCCCCCTCCAGAGAGCAGCGTCCCGATGCTCCTCTACAAAAGACGGCGTAGTAAATGTATGGTGTAAATCAGTCCGAAAAGTAGGGCTTCATTTGCACAACGTGCACGATTTCTGGTTTTTGCTGGCGAGTTGTCGAGGGGCTGTCAGGAACGACCTCGTAATTAACGTCACTCATGCGTTGTAAAACTGTGTAGGGGCCAAAATACTTCTTCAGCAATTTTTGAGACAGTCCCCGGCGGCGGATAGGACTCCATACCCAGACTTTGTCGCCGGCCCGATAGAATACACTATTACTTGTCCTAGTTGGCCGCCAATGCATCATTGTTTAAATTTATATGGCTCAAACGGACGGAACGTGATGGAACACAGTGCCTGTGCTGTGTTCATCCTGCCACGTCTCCTCCGTTTGAGGGCTGTAAATTTGAACAATGATCTGACAACAGGCCCTGGTGGCGGTGACAATGTAACTAATTTTTCACATTCTGTGTACTCTATAACTCCTTTCGTGAGGTTATCAATGTTTAACGCCCTTAGAATCCTTCATTTTCCCATGTTTTCCCAATTCAAATATGCACATTTTCTATCCTAAAAAATATCTTAGATCGTAGCAGGAATTTATATCTTTAGGAAAACGCATAAACACTAAAAAAATGTGGAAAGTTGAGTTGGTGATTCATCGTCGACACACATCTGGTGTACGTCGAGGAGCTGTTCACTAACCTTTAGCGTGACCCAGTTTTGGTGAGAGACTACTTGCGCACACAGCCACCGTCATTTTTTTTCATAGACGGCGTTTACGTGAATGCGGGAGCTGGCGGATCGCATCAATACTGTAACGCATTACACCCGTGTAAACGGGTGTAATGCGTTAGGGAGGCCCTTCGAGCTAATACGCCAGATAGGACTTTATTTTCAGGGGTAAGTCGACTCGAGGAAAATCATTGACGAGGAGAGCCTCCCTTTCATTGAGGTAATGTCACTCGAACGGTAAAGTTCACCCGTTCCAGTGACCATACCAAGCGCTAAGGATCCTACAGCAGCTCTGATAGCTCTCACGGCACATGGTAGCAGCAAAATCAATAATATCTAGAATCCTAGGTTCCAAAACCACAACATGATTGAGATACGCTGTAAGGGAGTAATAAGGGAATTTGACCATCTGGTGTTTTATATGCGGAGTATTTCTTAGCACCGTGTCACAGATGCGGCGTCGGCGGCGCCGTCCACATCCTCGTTGCGCATGCTCGCGTCTCTTGCCAACACCTCCTCTATGTGATGGACATCATTTCAATGAGGTTTAGTTTATACGCATTACAGAGTCTGTAGGTGGATTCCTTTCAAGTATTACAGAGAGTGTAGCGTGCTGTCAATCTTGTTACGGCGCTAATAACCAAGTTTTCCCAGACAGCACCACACCACTGCGAGACTTGTCTTCTATCGATGAGAGGAGATACAAGTGACAAGGTGCCCCGTCCTGGTGGTCTGTAGTTGTTAAGGTACTCGGTTGCTGACCATCAGGTCCCGGGATCGAATCCTGGCTGCTGCGACTGCATTTTCGATGGAGGCGGAAATGCTGTCGGCCCGTGTGCTCAGATTTGGGTGCACGTTAAAGAACCCCAGGTGTTCGAAATTTTTGGAGCCCTCCACTACGGTGTCTAGCTCTCATAATCATATGGTGGTTTTGGGACGTTAAACCCCATGCATCAATCATCGATTCCTAGAAAGGGCTAGTAGCCAAGTTCTTTTCCTAATCATACTCCTCCCCCATTTTATAGTGTATGTATATATATACTCACACCTGTAATTGCTTCTGCGCTTCATCTCATTAATGTTATTTTGTTTTGATCACATTTCCTGCGCACTGGAAAGCTATCTATCATGAAATTTCTATTACCAAACAGCCATCTCGATGTGTTTTAGTGACGTGGTATCGTCACGATGAAGTCACAAAATGCCAAAATTTGTTACACCAGTCACGTGACATACCGTCACATGATTTCCTAGTTTGTTCAAATGTGGTCCGATCACTAAGACAACGCAAAAGCAGATGAAGTGCCTCCGATTTAGGCGGCCGTGCAAAGCCACATTAGTTGCACGAAGCTTTCAACGGGAAGTGGGGCAGATTCAATATATCGACTGAGAATAAAGTAAAAAAGATGGCTTGCGCCTTCGTGTCGTCTGAAGTGAATTGATTCTGAGAGTTTTATTTACAATTAGAAAATGAGTGACGTCCATTTCGGCATGTGGACACTTAATTCAGTTTATTTACTTTCATACAAAACATGCATGCTTACAAATACATACAGAAGGAGGTCCCAGATCACTTGGCTGAAGGGGGACCTCCTGTCAGAAAATGTGTTAAATATGTACAAGTAAAATGCAACAACGTGGAATAAGTTAAAGAAATAAATGTAATACAGACTTAAGAGAGTCAAAACTTTAACAATCAGAAGTACAACAAAAACACTGCTACACTTGCTTTACAATTACAATATATACTTGCTATACAAATGACTATGTCTATTTAAAAGGTGTCGTTTAATTAGGATAGTTGCCGTCTATAATTTCCTTCAAATTTTCGGTGGTGTAGGTGCACTTTTCGAACAGGGCTTCGCAGCCTTCATTCGCGCTACCAGCAGCTGACGCCTGCTTGAAGATGATCATGTCCGGGTTGCCGTTCACCACTTCGGGATTCCTGCGTGCAACAGAAGAAAAAGAAAACGGTGATTACAAATCACGAAGATGAAAATTTTGGGGTGAGAAGAATCAGCTTGACGGGTAACTCGCATCTGTACATATTTGTCATAACAACAAAAGGAAAGAAAAACAAGGGGAAAAGCGCGAAGAACGCAACCTGAATAACTGAAAGCTAAGCGGATAAGGAGGCGACACTAGCGACGGCAGCGGCGGCGGGATGGGCCAGAGCGAATGTGAACAACATCGACGCGCGCGGTCGTGTTTTTCAGGCTGCTTTGGCGTTTTCGTTTTCTCTTCCCTTCCGAAGTGTGAACGTGGCCTAAAGGCCTGACCACATGCATCCGTCACAGCGCGTGTCTTTTCGACGCGGCGCTGAGCCCTCTCCCATATGGAAAGAGAGAACGTCCACCTTCGCGTGGCCACGCACCCTCTCTCAGCGTAGGGAGAGGGCACGTGCTGCGTGCTCTCCTTATGGAGATAGAAGGAGAGAGCAGGCCCCACACTCTCTCCCTCTAAAGAGGGAGGGGCGGTGCCACGTCAGAAAGCCGCGCGTGACACGCTGAAACGCACATGCGTGGTCAGACTTTAAAAATGACACCAAAACTTTCACTCGTAGTTTTTTTTTTTGCGTAAAATGATAGGCGACGCCCGCAAGAGCCTAGAAAATTTACTGCTAACCGTGAGTGCGTGCCAGAAAAGTAGTTACCTTGTGTTATTATTTCTGGTTGCGGTTAATACTCCACTCTGACGTCACAACGCGGCTTAAGCTTTTCGTTACGCGTCGGAAAAGGTGTGCCATGGAAAAAAAAAAACATCTTGTCAACAGCTCCTGAGGTTCGCATTCGTTCAAAGGCGTCTCCGTAGACAGAATATTCGTATCATCATCAGCAGCAGCAGCAGCTTGACTACACCCTCTGCAGGGCAATGGCCTCTCCCATGATCCGCCAATCAACCCGGTCTTGTGTTTTCATACCTGCGAACTTTTTAACCTCATCGGCCCACCTATCATTCTGTCTCGCCTTCGTGCGTTTGTCTTCCCTAGGATTCCAATCAGTTACCCTTAATGACCAGCGGTTATCCTGCCTATGGGCAACGTTCCCGGCCCATATGTCCATTTCTTCTGCTTGATTTCAGCTATGATATCCCTAACCCCGTTTTTTTTTCCTGACCCACTCTACTCTCTTCTTGTCTCTTAAATGTTACACCTATCAGTTTTCTTTCTAGCGCTCGCTACATCATCCCAAAGGATATTTGTATTAGGCGTGCACAGTTAACTCACCTTCGGAAAATGGAGTCA